GGCAATCTTGGGAGGCATTCCGGAAAGACCTGTTAAAGTTCTTCCTCCCTCCTCGATTTATGGAAAACTTGGAAGACGAGATACGCCAGCGAAAACAGAAGTCTCAGGAGTTGTTTAAGGACTATATGTTGTCGATGCAGGACCTAATGAGGCATACCGACTACACCGAGGAGCAAAGAGTGGAGCGAATCATTAAAAATGCCCGTCCCGAGTATATGTGGTACATTAAGCGGAAGGACTTTACCGACTTGGCAAGCCTCCTGGAGATGGCGGAAGATCTCGAAGATATACCATCCATACCAAGCATTGCCAGAGACCACCATAGACAGATCGAGCATGTCGAACCAAGAAAGGACCAAGAAAGAACTTTCAACCCTGCCAATGCCTGCCGTAGATGTGGTCAAGAGGGACACTTTGCCACCGGATGTCGCAACCCACCGAAACTCTTTTGCTGGGAATGTGGTCGACAAGGTATACGGACAAAAGAGTGTTGCCGAAAACGTTCGGGAAACGAGAGCTCGACGGAAATGTGGGTTCGATGACAGTTACCCCTACCATCGAGTCACAACCCTTTATTTCACGGACTCACGACGGATCAGAGCGAAAAATACACCAAATAATGAGAACAGAGGTATCCTTTGGTCGGAGTAGACCCCAAATCGACTTTTTTGTGATGACAGATGCCAGTGAAGACATAATTTTGGGTTAGATTTCCTCCGGATGAGCCAGACAAGAATCCAGTGCGCCGGGCTGTGCTGCGATATTCCGATTCTCAAAGCAAACCAACCTACAGTTACACACTCAGCGAAAAGTCTGCATAAAACACTGCAACAGGGGATACATCGGACCAAGCTTCGCAGTCATCGACTCCAAGGCAAAATCAAGACAGCAAAGAACACGAAAAAGTCTCTTAAAATGGGTACCGATTCGCTTATATCCAAAATTGTCATACCTCGAGCTTAAAGGACCCCACCCCAGAAAGGGGTGGAAGTGTGACGGCGAAAATCCTTCGTCACACAAAACGCTATCTTAAATTCCAATTGCCTAGCAAAATTCTTGCGAGCAACCACACTCAAGATACGTAAACCGTTATCGCAACAACACTCAGCATCACTCATCACTACCATTGGCGGTGATGAGCACATGTGATGTTGTTGTGATAACCAACTTTTTTGTAAACAAGTTCCCGTTACTCCACTGCGAACACGTGTTGGAGCCGGGTATAAAAGGGCAGGCAATGGCAGAATCGGGGCAGTCAGCGCAGACCTTGAAAGTGAAAACATCGACCTCGGTAAGTAAACTAACATCTCATCGAAGCCTGGGCATCCTTGTGTATCCTGAGAATATCCTCACCCATTCTAACGACATCCTTGTGAGTTCATTCATTGTCCTTGAATATCTTGTAGTGCTTGAGTACTTACTAAGGTCTCTTGCAAACATATCCTTGAATATCCTGTAGTGCTTGAGTACTTACTAAGGTCTCTTGCAAACGTGTCCTATATCCTTGTAGTGCTTGAGTACTTATTAAATCTCTTGCAATCATATCATTGAATATCCTGTAGTGCTTAAGTACTTGTTAAGGTCTCTTGCAATTATATCCTTGAATTTCCTGTAGTGCTTGAGTACTTACTAAAGTCTCTTGCAAACGTGTCCTAGATCCTTGTAGTGCTTGAGTACTTATTAAGGTCTCTTGCAATCATATGCTTGAATATCCTGTAGTGCTTGAGTACTTATTAAGGTCTCGTGCAATCATATCCTTGAATATCCTGTAGTGTAGGATAGTTATTTTAATCTATAGTTATATATAGTTCAAATTTCATTTAAAATAAAACATAGTAATATTAAAACTTAAACCACTGTCTTTCTCTTCCTGTCTCAAAAATAAAATATCTGTACGGACCCGAAGGAGACAACGACAACATGATCTCCGTTCTCAAGCAGAGTTTCTGTCGGACCTGGTCGAAGGATTATATCTTCGGTCCGCAGAACACGAGAACAATCTGCCTCCTCAGGATTGTCTCACCGGCAGAGTCGTCAACGTAATCGAAGGCAAAGACGGAAGAGTCAGAGTGGCGGAAATAAAAACAAAAACCGGAGTGTATTAGAGACCAAGAACGAATCTTGCAATGTTACCAACGGATTGAAAACCTCCGTTAAATGGGGTCAGAACCTTGGAGCTGCGTTTTTGCAACACTTGGCATGTCATGAAACAATATTGCAACGAACTTAAGAGACAAGCGCAACAAGAAAACCGACTTAAATTCTTAGTGTCATGCAGGAGTTAGGGAGTTATTCCGAACCATACAAAGCATTTGAAGACTAAGGTAGAATAACGACTCAATGAACTGGGACAATGGCGGAGTCAACCCTTTGGACACTCCGTCATTCTGAAGTATGTAGGAAGCATGGGAAATCAGGCTATAGCTAGCGATTATATATCACCTATCTATGGCAGTTCTGGAATGTGAGAATGCTTTGGTTTAAATCGTTTGTCAAACTCTATTGGGCACTGCAACATAAGTGGCAATGAATCGGCCGATGAATTGGCCAATCATGGATATGAGTCAGTAGACCTAGAGGTTGAAAGCTCAGTGAAGCTACCCTTATGTCATTTCTTCCAAGTACTGCATAAGCATTATCTAGGAAAATATCAACAGAACTGGCTAACTGGAAGGGGATGTAATGTCTCCAAAAAGATTTGGCTATTACGAAGCTTGTGGTGGGCCTAATTATAGGACACTGCATTATAAAGGCCATGACATCCAAATGGGGGTGACGTTACTGAATACTGCTGGCTTTGTCAGGACGAGGAAAAAACTGCGATGGTGGAGTACTTACTTTGCCACTGCCCAACTCTTATAGGAGTGAGGCAGAGGCTACTGGGTAAGCAAATTCTGCCAGACTTGTCATCCCTCTTCGATATTGAGATAGCAGTCATTCTTCTGTTAGCGAAGGACGACACACTGATACACCGTGGATGCAAACCTATTATCTTCTCCACTCTTAATTCAGATTCCCTCTTTTTCACTATCCTCTATTCATTTCCTCTCTATCCTATTTTCCTATCTTTTTAAATTACGATGAACACAATCGACCAATGGGTCTCCGAGTGGAGTGGTTGTTTTTACAACCGTGCATTCTTTAACCTAACCTAAAGCAGAACAAACTTTCTGCAACAACACAATACGGAACCAATACACTCCAATAGAGTTTAATTTCCACAAGAAAATTTTAAATCTTGAAATTACACAATCAAATATAGTCATAAAAGCCACAAACAAAATCATACAAAGAGTAGACCCCCATATAATACATATACTTAATACAATGATTTTGGATTCAAATACAATCCACAATAATTTGACAATAAAAAAATTATCGAATTCCCATTTGAAAGCAAATATTATTTATCATTACGAAAGAAATTTTGGTTCCCATTTACAAAATGTAACTTCTAGCCTCTCCACGCAATAGCCGATATAGAACAGTGCATAGTAGACCTGAATGAAAATGACAAGGAAATTTGTAGGACAAAACTAGCAAATAGAATAAATAATCTCAAAAGTAGCAGTAAACATAGTCAAAAAGACAGATTTATTACTACAATATATGTAGATGCAAAGAAACTCCTGAAAAGACGTAAACACATAATAATACTGCAAGCTGACTAGTGAAACAAAATGGTGAGTAGCACTAGGATATGGAAGATCTCCCAAAAGACAAAAATACATACAAGATGCTAAGAAACGACCTCAACATTAAATTACAAAAGACAAAAGAATAATATTGTAATGGAATTATTTATAAATAATTTTATAGACAATTTTTAAAATAAAAACTACAATGCACATCCTCCAACGCACCCAGGATATATGGACTCCTCAAAATACACAAACCCAATGTACCGTACGTCCAATTGACTCATCCATTAATGTTCCGTGTTACCAAATCTCTTAATGCTTAGTTAAACATTTGGAGAATATTGTATCAGCGAAGTACAGTATAAAGAATTCAACAGAAATTAAAGAAAATCTCAAAAGTGTAAAGCTCGTTGTACAAAATACTTTGTTCCTACTTTTGAGTGCGGTTGAGGCGCTGGGAAAAACTAGCAATAAACAATAAATATTCAAAAATTATATATATATATATATATATATATATATATATATATATATATATATATATATATATATATATATATATATATATATATATATATATATATATATTAGAATAGATAAGAACAATTGTGTGGCTGCGGACTAGGTTAAGTTAGATTAGTTTCAGTAATACGTAAGGAAAATATTTTTGAAATAAAACTAGAATTGAATCAACAGCCAAACCGTTCGGTTGGTTTTCTCTTCTCATTCATTGGTCAATCGAGCCATCACTTTTGTCAAAGTGAAACGAATTAGCGACCACAAAACGAAAATACTACGAGTTTTCCCCCACCAGTGGTAAGAGACTCACTACAAGCAGAAGTGCTATTCTTCAAAAAAGAGGAGAGTAGCTACCAATAAAAATCCGTTGAGGGATAAAATTATAAAGAGACATAAGGACAAAATTTAAACATATATATAAAAAAAAAAGACCCACGGGGCAAATTAAAAAAAAAAAAAACATAACAAAAAGAGAACATCAAAGTCCCAACTGAAAAAAAAAGAAGGCAATATAAAAAAGTTTTGAAAAGAGGACAAATGGAACCATCTAAATTAAAAATGTATAAAAAAAGGAAAAACTATCACCACTTTGGCAGACTATTTCCAGCTGTTAACGTCGACGTCAGCCTTTGAAAAGGTTAAACACGTCGCACAGTGTCACGACCGCGGCCAAAAATGGTAAAAACCAAGTACATAAGAGCACAAATTTATTGATGAGAATTGATAGAAAACATTCCAGTTAGGAATAATATGAATTTTGGTAGTGATACGTCAAGTAGTTTTGCCTGTACGAGGGTTCAAATCTGATAGTTTTTGGCAATCGACATTTTTCTATTTTTTTCGGAAAATTGACACTTTTTTCATATGTTCAAAAATTTGAATATTAAAAGTAACGGTTATAAAAAAAGTGTTTATTTTAGTTACTTGGGATGTCAAAAACTTGGCTTCACCTTTGTTTGGGTGTAAATAGTGATCATATGGTGTTTACAGTTACAAACACCTGTTGTACTTAGTTCATCTATTTTGTAAAGCAAATCTTGAAATTAGTGGAGTAGAAAAAAAAAGGTTAAAAAAGTTTAGTCTACATTTTTGTTGATTTTAGTTGTGAAAAGTATGTATTTTAACCTATAAAAAATTAGCTGCGGAAACCTGCGCTCCTAAGAGTTATTTGCTTTTTTTAGTGACCACCTCTTTAAAAAACTGTGACATATTTTTGGAATGGTTAGAAGTAAAGGATCAAAGTATGTCATATGTTCTGGCAAAACTTAAAGAATTTATTGAGGATCGAATTGGAAGGAAAATGACGGGCGAAGAACACATAAAGGTTAAAAATATTTGCTACAAATTGTCTTCTACGTGGAAAAAATACTATCGAAAGAGGGATAAAGTAGAAATGGTCTTAAAAGATTGGTTTCTTATGGATACGTTTAAATTTGATTCGGTACATTTGAAGATTATTTTTATTAAACCAATTATTTAAAAACTTTTAAATATTTAGGAACCTGATAAGTCTACATCAAGAGGTCGACCACGCATTAACTTTGAGGAAAGTTCATGTAGAACAAAAAGGCGACGTGTAGGTGAACTTGTTGCATCTACTTCGGCGGACATCATAACAACAGCTGCAAAAGATTTTCGAATGTAAAGGAAACGGACATTATTTCAGTGGAAAAGGCATTGGCGCTCTACGTGGATATGGATTTATCAGTTAGGCAGTATAACATGATGAGAAATGCTGTAAATGCTATACATAAAAATTGTTTCCCATCGTATTATGCTATAGCAGAAGCTAAGAAAAAATTGATTCCAGAAAATATAGAAGTGACGGAAACATCAATGAATGTACCTCTACAAACACTTTTGGATAATACCGCGAAGAGCATTCTAACTAAACTACAAATTTGTCCGAAAAATAATATAACTTTAGAATGTAAATGGGGATTTGATGGCAGCAGTGGTCATAGCCTCTATAAACAAAAATTTCGAAACGAAGACGCAACAGATGAATTTATGTTCGTTTCTTCATTTGTGCCCTTGCGTATTTTAGATGATACAAACGAAAATGTCTTGTGGCAGAACGACAGGCACTCATCTTCAAGGCTATGTAGACCTATTAAAATACTTTTTACAAAGGAAAATTCACAGACTATAAATGAAGTCAAAGAAAACATAGAGAAAGAAATAGCAGATTTGGATGCTTGTGTATACATGAAACTAACAATGATTGACGGAGCTGTATTAAATGTATTGTATGGCAATAAAAGTTGTGCAACCTGTGTTTTATGTGGCGCCAAGCCTTCACAAATGAATGATGAATCTATATACCAAAGAGAAGTAAACGAAGAGTGTTATAGGAACGGTATATCTAGTTTACACGCCTGGATTAAGTTTTTTGAGTGCATTGTTCATATTGCATGTAAACTACCTGTCAAGACATGGCGAATTGATAGTAGAAACACAATATTAGTGAATGAAAATAAAATCAGGATACGAAGAGCATTAAAAACAAATCTAGGTCTTCTTGTCGACAAAATAAAACCGGGCTACGGGACATCAAATGATGGAAATACAGCTCGACGTTTTTTTTCAAACATTGAAGTAGCGGCAGATATTACCGGGGTCGACAGAAGATTAATTTACAATTTTTCCCTCATTTTGCGGATTTTGTCTTGTGGGAGATTTATAAATATAAATTTATTTCATAAGCTTCTTCAAGATACATGGCAACTTTACATCGACTTATACTCTTGGTATTACATGCCAGTCACGGTGCATAAAATTTTAGTTCATGGCATTGGATATGTAAGGTACAGTACATCCCCTCTTGGACTGCTTTCGGAAGAGGCTATCGAGTCATGCCATAAATAATTAGGAGCAACCGTTTGAAACACACCCGAAAATGTGGTAGAGTCGAGTCAAATAGGGATTTAATTCAGTATTTGATACTACAATCGGACCCTGTAATATCCTTGAACAGTCATAATATATTGGCCCGAAATTATAACATGGAAGACATTAAATCATATATTTGTGAAGAAAATAACTTAATATTCCGGAAATATGTTCAGAAGATGAATCTGATGATTGCAGTGAGGTATGTAGTGAATAGTGTATTTCAAAGCTTATGTTATTAATAAAAATTAAATACGAATAAAACGTGTTTTATTGAAAAGAGGGTTTTGTAATATAAAATACTCTGAAACGTAAACCTACAGACAATTTTAATATTTCACTAAATAAGAAGTAAACTGCAAATATCATTTAATATGGTTGAATACATACGATTTCATAGGCCAACAAATCGAAATTTTCAAGACCCATTGTATGGGAGGTATACCAAATCATGGTCCGATCAATCCAATTTCTTGTCAACTGTTTTATAGGCCCAATTAGAAGTTACATGCCAATTTTCATCAAATTTGGTTGAATATTAACGATTTTATAGGCTAAAAGAGTGAAATTTGGAAGACCCTATATATGGGAGGTATACCGAATTTTGGTCCAATCTATCCAAATTTTTGTAATTTGCTTTTTAGCCCAATAATAAGCATCTGTACAAAATTTCATCCACCTACGACAACTCTTTCTATTTTTGGCCGCCGTTTGTATGAACTCGCGACATAGTGCGTCGCGGCATGGTAGGTACTGGTAGAAAATACATATTACCAGTTACGACGGTACTTGAGGGTACACCAAAAATATCTTCCAACCCATATGAAGACATTACCCTGTGATGTGGATATGTGTATGTTATCAGCAATGAAGCTTTTAGCAACCCGGAGTCGCAATTACACAGACTTTGACATCGATGAAACCTCCATCACGATGGATACTCTCGCTGAAATATGACCATTTAACTTGGGAAGAGCAAGTGGAAGAAAACAGACAAGTTAGCTATGTCGAAACAAAGGAAGATTACGACAGAGAATTAGAAGATGGTTTGCACGAACAAATGCAAGCCTATGAACATAATTTACAATGGCTGCAGGGACAAGCAATAGAATTGCGTTCTCAATTAATAATCGAAGTGGAAAAAATGAAATGATATTGAGAAATGCGAAGGCCCACGAAAAGTATCTGCTCGCCAAATCTGAAGAAAGCCTGCCGGCCAAAGATGAACAATTCGAAGAAAAGCATCGAGTTCAGAAAGATAAAGTGCGACATCTGAAAACGAAGTTAGAGAAAGTCGATGAAAAATTGGCTAGCTCGGAAAGAGCGCGGCAAGTCTTGGAAGCTGAGAAAGATGACCTGTCCAAGCAACTAGCAAGTGTAAGAGAGGGACATAATGCTGATAATCTAAACAGAATCAATGTTTAGAAGGAAATATTGTGAGTGTTTCCCGCCGGCAAGTCCTCATTTTGAGGAAAGGAAAGAAGAAATTCCACCCTGACCAATGAAGAACTCGAAAAACATAATTATATTGTAGTAAAGGAAAAAGGAATGAAGGAGTTAAGCACAGAAGGTCCCATCAGTTCCAACGAGTATGGAAATTAATTTATCGAAGAAGTGGGAAAAAACAAACAAAGTTCTCTGGTTCCAGTTTCTGAAGGGTATTGCCTTAGCGATATCAAGAGCAAATCATCAATGGCCGTGAAAACAGAAGACGACAAAGCAGAGCGTACCATGGAGCCAATGGCAATCCTTCTCAACGTGAATGATGGCGGTCTGCATCGATGGACTATTAATGCGGTATGGAGAATGAAGCCGGAAGATAAAGGTGGTGGCATTGGCAAGAAAGACTGGACAAAGAAATGGAGTCGATTCCTGGAAGCAGTTACTTAATAGAATATTTAGATTGTTTGAGCATATATAGTTAGTTTCGTTTTCATATTTAAATATTTTATAGTATACATTTATTCATCTTTATAAAAATACAGTCCACTATTAACATACACATTTAAGCCGCCCGGGAGAATGTACAAAATACTTTGTACATACTTTTGAGTGCGGTTGAGGCGCTGGGGAAAAAACTAGCAATAAACAATAAATATTCAAAAATTACATATTTCCCAGCCGCCATAAAATACCACATGTGAACAATTCGGTGATCTTGTGCGCTGACGAATATGTGTCAGATAATAAAGGTTATGACCCACACGCACAGATATCGATGCGCTCAGTAGATGCACAAGATCACTTGAATGAAATGTAAAGCAGCCCTGCAATGTTCTCCATTCAATATTAGAGTAGATAAGAACAATTGTGTGGCTGCGACTAGGTTAAGTTAGATTAGTTTCAGTAGTACGTAAGGAACATATTTCTTAAATAAAATCAGAATTGAAACTACAGCCAAAACCATTCGGTTGGTTTTCTTTTCTCGCCTCTTACATTGATCCTTCGAGCCGGATCCAAAACAGAATTGAATCAACAGCCAAACCATTCGGTTGGTTTTCTTTTCTCGCCTCTTACATTGGTCTTTCGAGCCGGATCCAAAACAGAATTGAAATAACACACAGACGAAACGGTCGTGTTTCTTCTCTCAATCACTCGTTGACTCAGTAATATCAGAAATATCATTTGATATATCCTTATTCACAAACATTCCAGTACATACTGCAATAAAATTATTATGGATAATGGGATCAAATAGAACAATACACTAAGATTTCTAGATGTACATTCAGGAAAATTTGCAATTTTGTCTCAATGGACAATAAACTATTTCATATACAAGGACAAGATTTACAACCAAATATTTGAATGCTAATAGGGATGATGGAATGGTTATGTTTAATTGGTACACTAAGCAATCTTCATCCGGCAGAATTATAAATTACAACGCTACACAACCTAAATTTCAAATCCTACGCACATTGATATACAGAATTCTAAACATCAGTGACGAACAATTTCACAGTAACAACGCTCAAATTATAACAACATTTTAAAGAACAATAGTTTTCCTTACAAGACTTGAAATAAAAGGTGAATAATGTAGCCAAAATCATCAACATACCGTACATCGGAAGGTGCCGCTATATAGGAGCTATACGAAGACCTGCATAGACAATTTTCTGTCACAGGCTGTTGCTTCCATATAGAACTTCAAATACGACATCTCGAACAATTTCGATGAGTATTGTACCTAAAATCGTCAAAATTCAGAATACTATGAGCTACTGATATATGGGGCCTACACGAGGACTTAATCCTGCATAGGCAATTTTCTGTCAGAGACTGTAGTTGCCATTACGAACTCTAACTACGTAATTTGAAACTATTACGGTGAATAATGACGCTAAAATCATCAAATACTGAATATTAGGAGGTACCGTTATATGAGGGCTATATGAAACCGTGGACCTACATGGTCCATTTACGAACTTAACCTGCCTACTGGCAAAATAAACATGTGAACAAAATTTTAGCCTTTTATCTCAATTCGTTCGAAAGGTAGCGTGATTACAATAGACAGACAGACGGACATGGCTAAGTCGTATTAAATTTTACCAGAACACTAAGATTTCTAGATGTACATTTATGCAAATTTGGCAATTTTGCCTCAAGGACTATAACTATTTCACATACAAGGACAAGATTTATAACCAAATAGTTGAATTCTAATAGGGATATTAGCAAAATACATACCTGAACTTAAGAAGTCACCAAAAACGAAACGTTGGA